TCATTTATAAGAAGTTGTCAACCTAAAAACTTGTCAATCTTGTTTGATCGGTCCTCATCAGCACACCATGAATCAAGATGCCTCACGTAACTAAACACATATATTTTAATTACATAAAACTAATTTTTATGAAATAAATGACTTCTATCAAACCAAATACAAACCAGTACAAAGAGAATCACATGACTTATATAAATTCTAGATGACTATTCATGAGCTACAAACTCAAATATAGAAAACAAAGAAAAATATGGAGCGTCATAATGAAGGAAAAAAATCCCAAAAACCTCATGCTGTGTGCATACCATTTCCATCACAAGGCCACATAAATCCTATGCTAAAACTTTCCATTCTTCTTCACTCTAAAGGCTTTCACATAACATTTGTCAACTCTGAATATAATCACAAAAGATTACTCAAATCCAAAACCCCTTTTTTTCTTGATAATAATTTCCAAGATTTCATCTTTGAAACAATTCCAGATGGACTTCCTCTTATTGATGCTGATGTTACACAACATATTCCTTCTCTTTGTTTATCCACAAAAGAAAATTGTTTAGCACCATTTAGAGAGCTTTTAATCAAGATTAATAATAATTCATCTAATGTTCCTCCAGTTACTTGCATAATATTTGATGGAATTATGACATTTGCTTTGTTAGCTGCTCAAGAAATTGGTGTGCCAAGTGTTAGCTTCAGAACTACAAATGCTTGCAGTTTCATGTGCAATAAACATTTGCCTCTACTTATTGAAAAGGGAATTTTGCCTCTCAAAGGTTAGAATTCTTTAAAATACAATCTTCTTTAGTTTATTCTACCTATAGGTCAATTTCACCGATGGTTATTCAACTTTTTAGTTTATTCCGCTAAAAAAGCATAAAACTAATTTTTGTAACAGTAAAATATTTTTTCTATATAATTGGTGCATATGTGAAGTTGAATTAACTTTTGGTTTTTTTTTTTTTATACAATTTAAAAAGTTGAATGACCACGGGGTGAAATTAATCTATTTGTAACCATGTTTGTTAGTCGAGACAGTTCGTGGACCAACTATATATGTGAGTCCTTAGAAAAATAAATAATTTGTCCAAGTTGATATTCTCTTGTAATATAATAAATATAATATGCCTTGTTTTATTTTCTATGCAGATGAAAGTGACATTACAAATGGTTATTTGGACACGGTTATAGATTTTATACCAAGTATGAAAAATCTTCGTCTTAGAGAATTTCCCAGCCAAATCAGAACCACAAATATAAATGACAAAATGTTGAATTTTATTATGGGAGAAACTGAAAGAGCTTCAAAAGCCTCAGCTATTATTTTCCACACTTTTGATGCACTTGAATTTAATGTGTTGAGTGATTTATCCTTAATTTGTCCTCCACTTTACACAATTGGACCTCTTCAATTACTCACTAATCAACTACAAGAAAAAAGCCTAAAATTCCTTAGAGCCAATTTATGGAAAGAAGATGAGAATTGTGTCAAGTGGCTAAATTCTAAAGAGGAAAAATCAGTGGTTTATGTGAATTTTGGTAGCATAACAGTATTGACAAAAGATCAACTCATGGAATTTGCATGGGGACTTGCTAATAGTAAGAAGAATTTTTTCTGGGTAATTAGGTCTGATGCAGTTATTGGTGATGATTCTATAATTTTACCAAGTGAATTCATAGAAGAAACGAAAGAAAGAGGGTTGATTTCAAGATGGTGTTGCCAAGAACAAGTTTTGCAACATTCATCAATCGGTGCATTTTTTACTCACTGTGGATGGAATTCAGTGATGGAGAGTATAGGAAGTGGCGTACCCATGATTTGCTGGCCTTTTTTTGCTGATCAGCACATAAACTGCAGGTAATGCATGTTTTCTTTTAATCATTAATTATATATGCATCATATTACATGTTCATGACACGTATTATCCTTTTTGGCCCAACAAACTTTATATGTTTGTTTCTTGGGCATCAATTACTATTTGCATAGGCGTATGCAGAATGGGGTCATCAGGTTCAAGTGAACTCATGCTTCCCTCCTGAAATTATATATATTAATGTTATGTTTTTAAAAAAATACTTAAATATAGATGTGTGAACCCTCACTAGACGTATCAAATAATGCAATGATGATTGGGTGCACCTCTATGAGTGAGGTTATAAATTGGAATCTTACATCTATCTTGTTTTTTTCTTTCTAAAATTAGGTAACACCTCTCTAAATTCATTTATATATATAACTTTAATCTTTCAAAATTTTCAAGTTTGTCACATTGGAAATTCCTTTTTTTTTAGCACTGTAATTTTTTATATGTATAATTAAGGGATAAGGGTCTGAAAAATACCCCAACTTTGGTCGGATTTGATGTTGCGATACTAAACTTTCATAAGGACCTATTACCTCCCTAGACTATTTAATACTGTATTTTTTACCCCTGAACTATTTAATAGTGTATTTTTAAAGGTATATATGTGCCCACGTGGACACATTACTATTTATAATTTTGCCATTATTTTTTTAATGTCCCACGTGGACAGATATATATGTTTAAAATACGGTATTAAATAGTCTAGGGAGGTAATAGGCTCTCATGAAAGTTTAGTATCGCAATAGCAAATTCGACCAAAGTTAGGGTATTTTTCATACCCTTATCCCTATAATTAAACCAAATATGCATATTATAGATAGTAATACTGAATGATATAACATACAATCAATGGGTTCAGTTGATCTCAACAGACTATGTAGGGTGGATTCAAAATAAAAGATTTCTTGATTTTCATGTGCAGGTATGCATGTGATGAATGGGGTGTTGGTATGGAAATTGACAAGAATGTGAAGAGAGATGAAGTGGAAAAAATTATAAGGGAAATGATGGATGGAGATAAAGGAAAGGAAGTGAAGAAAAAGGCAAGTGAATGGAAAATATTAGCAGAAGAAGCTACTGGAATTGAGGGTTCATCAAGCTTGAACTTAGATAAATTAGTGAAAGATGTACTTCTATCCAATTATTCAGTTAATTAGTAGAATGATTAAAACAGAAAATGACAACGACCCCCTCTGTCATCTTCCCTGTGTTAAGCATATGGGCTCTGAAGCCCAGTGAGCATCTTTGGACTTTTCAAACTTAGCGAACTGAAACATCTTAGTAGCTAAAGGAAGGGAAATCAACTTGTGCCATTTACAATAACGTTTTCCTTTTCTTTCTTCTTTTTTAGGTATCTTATGTCCAGTGCCGCCCCGCCACAGCAGACGGGTTGCTTCCTCTGTCGTCGCCGGGGAATATTTAACTTTGACACGATATTTTTTACTCTCATAATACTTTAAATAATCAAATAATTAGATAATAGAACTCAGTCTGGATTGACTTAAAAAAGGTAACTATTTTTTAAGTTAAAAATAAAAAGTCAAATTTAAATAACTTTTAAGTCAAAAAATAAAAAGTAGGGGGAGCGGGAGACCTACTTTTGATTTTAAAACTTTTTTAAATTTATTATAAACTTATTTTAAGTTATTTTTAATTTTGTCAAATAATTTCAAATGCTAAAAATAACTTTAAAATAAATTTGACCAACTTTTAAATCAATCCAAATAGGCTCATAATCTTCCTGAAAAAGGTCTAAGCACTGTTGAACTTAACTAATTTAGGTTTTATATATGATTATTAGGGCATCTCCAACCCATACACCAAATTTGATGTCAACACTATTTTTGGTGTAATCAACTCCAATCCACTGCACCAAAATTTACACCAAAAAAATAATATTTTTCTCTCTTTTCATTATTATATTATTATTTCTTATTTCATAAAACAAATTCTTTCTGAAACATTCACCATATATAATTCGTATTATTTCCTTTTATAATCGTTTAATATAAAATTATTTTGTACCATAATTTTTTAAATAATATAAATTGCTAGCAAATATTATACATTATACATAATAATGGATAATACAAATAAAAGTGAAATCATTAATGAAATACAATTAAATAAACATTACATAATTGAAAAATTATTTTAAATTCTACATAAATATTCAACTTTCAAGATCACTACGGTGCTCCTATAAATGCTCTATTAATGCATTACGTAGTTCAAAATGAGCTTCTTTGTCCTTTATTATTTTATATCGAGCTAGAAATTGTTGAAATTGATAATTTATAGTAGAATTAACATAAATTTAATTTTTAAAAAAAGTAATATATAGAAAAATTAATTTATAAAAAAGCTAAATTTTATATCTAAAATTAATATTATAAAAATATTACATAAGAAATAATTAAATATACAAGAGATTTAATTAAAACATACAATTTATATAATGTTTAATTAAAAGTTTGTATAATGAAATAATATTAAAATATTAAAAAAGTGAATTGGTGTGATGAATAGTGTTACACCAAATTTGGTGTAAAAATTGGTGTGGGTTGGAGCTCAAAACACCAAATTTAGAATTTGATGTAAAATTTGGTGTTAGATTGGATATGGTCTTTTTAACTTCTTGGTGTTACCTATACTATTCCAACATTTTAAATCATTTTGAACGTACAGGGTTAAATATGTGATGGAACAGGACTTGTCAATTAAGAGAGCCAACTAGAAACTTCATTGGCCTCACCAATTCTCATTTAAATAGTTTGTCAGTAAAATAATTGATGTAACATCACAATCGTATCAGACAGTGTGTATCAACTCAATACAAGTATATCTTTTCGTTTCATAATTCATATTGACTTTTCTCAAAATAAAATTTATTTTTTCATGTTGCTTAGAAATGAAAAATATCTATTAAAGATTTATAACGATATTGGTACATGGAATCATTTTATAAAAGTATGACATTTGAACCTTACTCAAATTTCAAAAGTTAGCTTATGAAGAGCGGATTGTTTAATTCCATATAAGGAGATCACTAGTTCATTTTTCAATCAATTTAAGACTTTTATCCACTCTAACACATTTCCCTTACACAAGAAGGCGGAACACTAATGACTATCATCAGAGCTAATAATGCACCTGTCCATTAATACACATACGTACTGTGACAGCGCTCATTATTTTGAATAGTACAATTTAGACTTGGATCGTGATATATTTTATGAACTTGACCCGTTTAACTAAAACTTAAGTCTGATCAAATCCGACCATTTGCCACCTCATTTAACACATTGTTCAAGTTAATACAAGAAGAACCTCCTGGACTAGCAGCCTTCTCTGCTTCCTCCTTCCAATTCATAGCTTTCAACTTCATCTTCTTTCCCTTTTCGCCATCCATCAATTCCCTCACAAGAATCTCAACTTCATTTCTCTTCAGATCAACTATCTCCATTCCCATCTCCCACTCAATACAACTGTACCTACAATTCGTCTGTTGCTCCGCGAAAAACGGCCAACAAAGCACTGGCACTCCTGCACAAACACTCTCTAACGTTGAATTCCATCCACTGTGAGTCAAAAACCCTCCGATCGCACGATGTTTCAACACTTTCTCTTGAGGACACCAATTGGCTATCATCCCTCTGTCTTTAATTTCGCTTAAAAAATCTTCTGGCAATTTTACAGAGTCCCCTGTAATTAAATCAGGCCTAATGATCCATAAAAATTGCTTCTTAGTATTAGCAAGTCCCCATGCCATTTCTATAAATTGATCAAAATTCATCACAGTTATACTTCCAAAATTCACATAAACAACTGAATTTGACTCTTTTGTATCAAGCCATTCAATGCAGCTCAAATCTTCTTTCCACAAATTTGAACCAATTGATTTGAGGTTTTCATCAATTGTGTTATTGAGCATGAGCTGTAAAGGACCAATGGTGTAAATATGAGGATGTATGGCGAAAAGGGCATTTAAGGCATTATGTTCAAAGGCATCAAATGTGTTCAAGACTATAGCTGAGGCTTTAGAGATTCTTTCAGTTTCATTTATGAAGAAATTAAGCATAATATCATTAGGATCTGTTGTTCTGATGAAACTTGGAAAATCTCTTAACCTCATGTTTTTCAATATTCCAGGGACCCAATCTATCATCTTTTCCAAGTATCCGTTTTTAATGTCATTTTCATCTGCACAGTGAAAGAAAAAGAAACATACGTAGATGTATGAGCAGAGATAGATGATGAATTTGAACTCGAATATTTAATTTAAAACACATTTTTCGCTATTACTCGTGCGAAATTATGAATATAACTTTGTAAGTAGTGCAATTTATCTGGAAAAATATAAAAACTTTTTTGAATGAAAGGGCAAATATGAAAAATAATTTCATTTGAACAATGAAAACTTTCCAAAAGTTTAGTGAATATGGAATAGATGAGTACAAACTATCAATTAATAGAAACAGAGTTGTAAAATACTTCCTCCATACCTATTTATTTGTCAAATATTTCTTAATTTGATTTTTTTTTATTTGTCATTTTTGACAAATCAAGCAAGAACAATTTTTTTGCCTATTATACGCTGAATTTATTAACATTGAGTTAATATCTTTAAAAAATATAATGTATAAATATGTTTAAGACTTTATTAATTAATAAGGACAAATAATAAACTCACTATTCTAAACATTAATACGCGTGTCAAATTAAAATTTAACTAATAAAAAAAATTGAAAGGAGTAGTTATGTCAAGACCAGTAAAAATGAATGGTGGAAGTAAATGATTTATAATAGAATAGAGAGAGCCCATATTATTGATTTATGGGCTCCATATAGTCGTGTTCTAATAAAAAAAAGGAAAAATTACTTAAATACACAACACTTCTTTACCTATTCTCAATATTTTCTTACTCTTTTATTAAAATACAAAAATCCCTTATTTCCCCAATTCAACTTAACCGGATACTTTATTAGTTTAAGTATCCGCTCATTATTAATTAAAGTATCTGCGCTGCTATATTATGCATCCACCCGTTAATTAAGTATCTGTGCTGCTAACAACTTAATAATTTAAGTATCCGCTCGTTATTAATTAAAGCATCCGCGCTGCTATATTATGCATCCGCCCGTTAATTAAGTATTTGTGCTGCTAACAACTTAATAATTTAATCCGTTATTAATTAAAGTATCCGCGCTGCTATATTAAGTATCCACACTGCTATATTATGTATCCGAAAAACACTAAAAAAAGGGATTTTTGGTAATTAATGAAAGAGCAGGGAAAGGAAGTAATTTATTTCTTATACTATGTCATTTGCCTAATTTTTACAAAAAAAAATTCTTTAATTGAATGTAGTACTACTTAAATTGGAACGGTTTACCTAAAATTAGCTTAGAAATACCAAATACACCCATAATTGACCACTCGCCGGAAGCGTAAGGTTTCAAAAATATGATGATTTAAAGTTTTTGTCTTCTTTAATGCATTTAAATCAACTTTCGACCCTTATGTCCCATCAAAAGTATCGGTTGGACGTTTTTAATTAGTAGATTTTTTTTTTTAATTTATGATTAGGACCAAAAGGAGAAATAATTTTACTTTTCACAGTCGTATACGATTCTCTAACTACATTGTTGAAAATGATTAATTTGTATGAAAAAGAAAGTCTCCAACCCTCCAACTTTCGTTTCTAAGAGATTCAAATCTTATTATATTATTCATGGTGTTTTTAGGTTGAATTTTTTTTTGCTGGCGAGATATATATATATATATATATTTTAATTTATTTGTCTGATTTTGACTTAAAAAGTAAGTAATTTTTTTAATCTTGTACTGATCATAAACTAAACATGTGTATAAGGTATAAAAGTGTCATATAATTTTATGGTATTAAATATGCTAGGTGGAAAGATAAAAGTAAATACTCCAGTTGTTGAAAAAGAAGAAGAGGAAAGAGACATTTTTAATAAAATGGACTAAAAAACAAAGTAAGATAAACAAATTGAAACATAGGAGTGTTATAAGTACTTCCTTTGTCCAATAATACTTGTCCACTATTAACTTTGCACACTTCTTAAGAAATTATAAATAGAAGAGTTATTTTACTATATCACCCTTTAATGGGAAGTGACTATAGTTAATGACAAGGGTAAATTATGAATTAAGTAAACTTATCCATTAATTTCATAAAGTTGACAGGTATTGTTGGACATCCTAAAATAGTATAGTGAACAACTAGACAACTATTGTTGGAGGAAGACAATATAACTTAAATCATTTATAGAAGTTAGTTTACTTGTTACTCCCTTCGTCCATTTTTATTTGTCATGTTGTGTTTTTCGAAAGTCTTGATTATTTTTAAAGTTAAATTAGATTACATTATTTGATATTTTAAACAAAAAATTCATATATTCAAAAACTAAACGGAAAGTACAATTTTTCGCATATCAATATGATGAAAACATATATCGTAAAATGTTAGTGAAATTTTTTATAATTTGACTCTAAAAAGGAAATTATGATGTAGTATGAGTTACACCATTTATTTTAAGTAACTCGATCCTTGTTTGTATAAAGATTTTTCATGCCGATAGATTTAATACGATTTTGATAGATTAAGAGGCCGTTCAGAAAGGAAAAAGGAGGATTTAGTGAAGATTGTAAATTAATTACCTTTGAGAGGAATGTATCCTCTTTGAACAAGGTGATGATAGTGCAAATAACACATGAAACCACAAGCACTTGCAGTCCAAAACAACACCTCCGGAATACCCAACTCCTCAGCAGCATCCAAGGTGAAACTCATAATTACATCAGACACGATACACGTCACTGGAGGAACAACGCCGTTACCCTCCGCGTTAATTTTATTAATAAGGTTGCGAAATGGTACCAGACAATTCTTAGATGTAGAAGCACAAAGAGAAGGAACATGTTGTGTGGCATCAACGTCGTGGTCTGTCGATGGGAGGCCGTCCGGTATGGTCTCGAACCGGAAGCCCGGTAATCCATCGAGAGACTGTGGACCATTGGACCGGAGAAGACGTTTGTGGTTAAATTCAGTGTTAACAAAAGTAATGTAAAAGCCATTGTGATGAACAAGTTTGGCTAGTTTGAGCATTGGACTTATGTGACCTTGTGCTGGATAAGGTACGCACACCACATGACCACTTTTGAAATTTGCAAAACTAGCCATTTTTATTTTTTTGGGTCTGTCAAGTGATGTTTGTTCGAGATTCATAAAGTAATTGTGGTCACTTTTATAGCCACATTTATTTGTATATGATGTCCACTCCGATAAGACTCGGTAAAAATGGACTATAAGACTTTTTTTAATTAATTTGCAATATTTGCTAATTCCTCAATTTAATTATTTCTCTTACCTAATCAATGAAATATATTTATACCTTCTATAGAAACAAGAAAAACACTGGGCCCTGGCTAGTACAACATTTCTTTTCTTTTCTTTTCAATTTTCGTGTTTCGGTATCCACATTGAAGCTCGATTAAATTTGAGTTTGCATGGAAAAGTCCCACATTGAAGATAAACGCTTCATAACAAAAGTAACTTTATATCTAGAGAGACTCGAATCTGACAACATTGCAACATTCTTCGTAATTGTAGTATCTATACTAATTCTCCCTTTGTTTCAAATTTATACGACGCTTTCAAATTTAAATTACGTAAATTTTAATTCACATATTAAAATATAATATTTCATCATAATGATATAAGAAGAATTATAATTTATAATATTATACTTTTTTATTAAAAAAATAATTTTATAATAATAAATTAATTTAACTGTAAAAATTAACTAAATTTAACTCTCTTAAGAGAAATAGTATCACATAGCGAATACTACTAAAATTATACAGCCGCCTCTCCACCTACCAGCTGGGTGATATTTTGTTCAGAACTTTAGGTTTGTGTGCCAAACTTTTAACTCGAGATTTAAAAATTGTTCGTATGGAGATTATATTAAAGTATTTATACTAATATTGAATAATAAGATGAGTAATTTTTTTAAAATTATGTATACATGAAAGCTCATAATAACATGTATACATGAAAATTTATAATAGTAAGTGAGTATTTGTATAATGGAAAGGATATATATGTGTCACTTTCATAACGAGGGTATATTAGCTTTAAATAACAAAGTTGAGGGTATATCAGCTTTAAATGACAAAGTTGAGTGATATATCATGCCCTTTTCCCTTCTTTTAAATATTACTATATCAATTTATGAAATTATACTGAATATGTTATTATTATTGTAGTTTATTAATTTGGTGAGTATATTTTGATACAATTTTATATTGAATATGCTATTATTATTGTAGTTATATGTTTAGTTTGGTGAATTCATTTTGCTATGACTTTTTTTTTCCATGTATTCATGTTGTGAGTTTTCTTAAAAAAAGGAAATTCTCCTTCTATAATTGTTGTGATTCTAAAATATATTCATTCTATTTTGATTATTGCGATTGTGAATATGAAATTTTGACTGTTACCTTTATTTAAAAATCAAAACTTTCGAAGAAAAATATAAATTTTTTTATTATAGCGTCACTAATGTGGAAATTTTTATTTAAAGCAAAATATAACTACTTAAAGAAACGTTTTTGATGAAATGTCGTTACTCTAAGAATGTACTTTTAGTCCAATTTATTTAAGGTTTACGGTTGATGTAGAACGTAAATAATGATTTAATAAAATTTATATTTTCATTTTAATCATTGTAAAAAAAATTTATCATCAGAAATTTTGAATAAAATAATACGTAAAACATTCTCTAGAGTCCGTTTAATTTATTTTATTTTTAAAAAAAAATATTGTATTACTTTTGTTAAATTTTAAAATAATAATTTATTTAAATTAAAGATTGCTAGATTTAGAGAGAACTAATATATGCAAAACTAATTTATTTTTCATTTCAGCATCAACAAAATTGTCAACTTTTTTTAACATCACCAAAAACGTTGTTCCTTTTTTTAAAAGAAAATGCAAGTTCAGTTTGAACAGTTCAGTATGTAATTTTGATTTTTAATAGAATCAAAAGGATCATTATTTGATTTAGATGAAGAAATAAAATAGTACTAATGTTTATTGAGTTAAAATAAGATTAATATTAGGCCTCACCATCAGTTATCATTTAATTGGTTTGTCAGACAAATTGGTGTGTATGTGTGTTTGATATGAAATAAAATGTTTATAGAATATTACTTATTTTTTCAAAAAATTTATTTTTTGATATTTGCTTGGAAAATGAAAAATACTTATTAAAGATTGACAAGACATGGGGCCATTTCTGTACAGAAATGGTCAGAAACACTTGCAACTAAGCTATAATGCACATGTCCACGAACAGACGGATTGAGACATAATATAACGAACCCAAACCTATTTTTATTCCACAAATTTTAGATAAGTTGGATTATACTAATTTATTTTAAGTTTGATTGAATCCGCTCATTTGTCACCTCAAATTGGGAGCGAAAAGCACCTCCTTAAACAATTTGTTCAAATTAATACAAGAAGAACCTCCTGTAAAATGCTGTCAATCATAATTCATAAAGATGCAAGTTCAGTATCAAGTAAACAAAAAAGTAAATTAGAGGGTGGTAAAACACATTTCCTATATCTTATTTCTACCTTATCACTCCACTCTTTATTCATGTACAATTTCTTCTTTCCTTGTTTCTTTCTTTTCTGGATTCATTTGAGTGCACTCTTGGCACATAATGTGTGTTCAGTTCAACTTATAGCTTACAAACAAGTAAAAGCCACGAAAAGTGACCACCTAAAAATTTGGTACCTAGTTGTTCTGTGTCCTGCTGAGTTAATTCACAGGCGCAAATTGTTGATCAATCAGTCGTTGAGCCCCTTCAACGATCCTCTTAATCACTTCACCTGCGGGTAGAATTTCCTTGATAAGACCGATGCTCTCACCAGCATACATCGCCATGCTTTCTATATCGCCAGTAGTTGTGGCATTTGGTACAGTACCAGCAAAGCGACGAACCTCTCTTTCCTGTTAAATGAAACTAATTACTACATTCTTAAGAACTAGGTACAGATAGAAGAATTTCACTCATGCTTATATTATAGTTCACATACTTCTCCCACAACGAGATAAAATGCATAGGATCAAGTATCAAATGATAAGACGAGCTGGTATCAGTGTCAAATAGAAAACTAACAAGTTAACAACATAAAAGGTTGATCACAGAATGAAGAGTCATATATAGGATAGGAACATTTTCAAGATTGTGTTAGGAAGAATGTAATCTCAGATACTCACCTTGCCATGTATGATTGTGCGGCCAATGACAGGTTGATTTGACTCATTCTCATGACATGGGAGCTCCTTCCATTCCATGAAGAAGGGGGTTGCCAGAACACGTTGTGGTGCCCCTGGCCACCTTGCACGACCAAATACATCTGTGTACTCTGTTTGATCAAATTCAATCAGCTTCCTCTTATACGTTGGGTGTGCATAGCTTTCCTCTGTTGCAAGAAACCTGAAAAGGTATAAGAATTTAATAACTTAGCCACTGATTTGCATATCCACAAGGACATGAATAGTTTTTATGTGAGGGAAGCTCCTAAATAGTCCTGTCTGATGCGCTGAAACATCTATTATCACAGGATATGTTAGCATCTTGTGATATATATGTCATCATTCCATCTCTACTGTCAGGGGCCAAAACATTTCAGAATAGAATTATGTCTAGAATTTATTCATTTAATATTCTTGACGCCTCATACATGTGAATGTACGATAAAAAAAACTATTGAAAAATAAGAGTCCACATTGACCAACGACATCAAACCTACAACGATGCATCTCTCCCATAAAAATGCACATAAGAAACTATCTAAGCAAGAGGGCATAGTAAACTGCAATTTATAAGTCAGACTTAACTTCTAAACAGCAATGGCCCAGCATGATTAACAGGATATAAGCCGGAGAGGAAGCAGGTACTGATAATAGATTAAACACCTTTAAAATGTTAGAACTAAAAGATCCATACCTGGTACCTAATGAAACACCCTGTGCACCAAGGGCCAGAGCAGCAACATAACCACGCTCATCCACTATTCCTCCAGCAGCAATTACTGCTATGTCACGACCACGAACAAGATCGACTACTCTAGGCAATAAGGTGATTAAACCATCCTAAAAGGATATCAACCAAGTAGGTCATATATTATTCGATAAGTAATTTTACAAAAAAGTGGCGACAAGATCGACTTCAACAGAAACAATTAGGATTTGAGGGGAAGAGGGGGGGAGGAGGGAAGTGCTTGAAGTGAAATATTCTCAAGGAAGAACAAATATTGTTAACTTGATGAAAAAACCATTGCATATCATGAAAATTATCACCATTATACCTGGCCAATTACATGGCCTCCTGCTTCCCGACCTTGGACAATAATTGCATCTACACCAGCATCAGCAGCTTTCTTTGCTTCTTCATAGCTGCCAATCTTAAAAAACAACACATGTGCTTTATAAGCTACATTTCAGGAATAAGTAGGTGAAGGTAAGTTCTCTATTCTTTCACAAATGTAAGCAAAAAGAAGAAGCCACCTAACTTGAAGAGGCATTAACAATCATGCTACAGGACAAGAGGGAAGCTAAGAATGAAATACTTCAAACTATATCACTAAGACATACAACAACTACAATTCAGTCCAAAACAAGTCGGGATCAGCTATATGAATCCTCAATGATCATGTTTCTCCATTTAAATTCATCTCAAACCAACACTTAAAGAAATCATTCAATATAGATTTTCAATATATGTAACACCATTATATGAGTAATTGTGAATTCTTAAACCTTAAAAATTAACTTGCAAGAAAGAAATAACTCATGATAAAAATAGGAGTATCTTGTACTTTGCTCATTTCTAGGAATTTGTGTATCATTCTGGTGAATAGTCACCTTCATTGATGAACTCTACTAGAAAAAGAAGAATAGAAGTTCATGAGCAGAATAGAGCAATTTAAAGCAAACCCCCACTCTAATCCAGCTAAATAAATTGACAAAATGATCCAACATCATGTAATGCGACATGTTAATGATGCAAGTGATTCCAATGACAAATAGTGAATTTTTGAAAATGTGAAAAGAGTTGTGTTGAAAACTTACTTGTGGTACAACTTTGACCCCAGCTTTATGAGCTTCAAGAACCAACTCCTTTGAACATTCACCCCAATAAAGCTGCAATACTG